CAAATCAATGTGCACCGTGATGGCGAGCTACCTAGAATGGTGGCCACCTTGCAAACCTGACTGATAGAATTCACTCTACACCAAAGAAAGGACTAAACACGTCACACTAGTTAATAATGTCCAATCAAACAACCCACTGCAGTCCCTCAGGAGGTAAACCGCAAGCTCAGTGGTAATGTCTCTGACTGCAGTACTTACTGGGTGGTGCGGATTCGATTCTCAGAGGGGACATGAGTTCCTTCAAGGTTGCAGATACGCCCTGCTGACGAGTGCCAACTAGCACGAAACCTAGATCCACGGCTTTCTGCCGATTGCCTCCAACTATCTTATATCATTAAAAACATAATTTATTTAATCTGCGGTCAATTTTAGTCTTTTCATAGAGGAGTGTCGGCCATATATCAGATGAAATAAAGACATTTCACTTTCTGGTATGTAGCATCATATTCCAAACATTATAAACAGAACAAGCTAAAAAGTGACTCCTTAAGGTAAATTTTTAACATTTCTCTTCTTTCATAAGCAATTTCAACGCGTAGCCAGAAAATCAATAACCTTCGTCCATTATTAACGTGAAAAAGACGTCAAACCAGAACGATCTGTGCATCTGACAGGGTGCTAGAACTAAAGCAATGGTGCCACTGAACACGATGATAAAGCTGTTCACTGCTGTATCGTTGATTATTTGAGAATATTTCAGCAGTTTCTTTGTCTGCAAGTGCCTGACATATTCCTTCTATTGTGCCAACTATTTGAAAAGTAAAATCCACCGTTTCTTGTCTGGGTCAAAGCGCCAAACTCTTGCTAAGTCTTACTTATCTGGTTTCTGACTGATTCCATTATCTGATGTATCTTCTTATTATAGTGTTATCTTCAGAAGGCTAGTTTTCTAGATCCATATTATTCAATCAATTAACAAATAACTAACTCTTGGGTTGCTTAGAACGTTTTGTTGTTTTTTTGTCAGTTCAACCTATTAGTATCATTTTAAACATGTTAATGCGATGATTAACTCTCAAAAGGAGTAGTCCACTTTAGAATCCCTTACCATTCTGCCATTTAGACAATCGACCTGTTTTTCTTTTCTTTAATTGATAAGTTTCCATCAGTATAATAAGGAATAGATGGTTGTATTAATCACCATTCAACCATCAGTTAGTGGTAATCAGTCAGTTTTCCAGTTGATATTTCTCGGTAGAGTTTCTTAGTTGCAAGGTTTACTTAAACACTGAATAACTTAGGTATGACTTCGTTTTACTGAAGCTGTTTTGTAAAATCGTGATATTCACAATAGAAATTGGTCAAGATTTAATTAACCCAAAGGGATATTTCGTCATAAGCGTCAGGTTAGAGTATCAACGTTTCTCATTAACTATTTCCATAATTGTGATACGTGTATTATAGTCAGTAAGTGAATAAGTTAGTCAGTTAAGTCTTTCGACTGCAGCAGCTCTATGTAGCAAACTCCCACAAGTGGTCAATCATTTACTGCTGGATTTCAACCCAGTATGTACAGCTAAAACGTGCTAACCTCACAATCTGCATAGAAATATACATATCCTACCCTCTTCAACTGACTGTGGTTTTCTATCTGATATGGATTTACAACGGAATGTACTTTGTGTGAAATTGATTAACACCATATAATAGTTCATACTACAGATTAATGACGCATTAGACATATCTGATCAGAAATGTCTACTACACAGTTCTATGCGTTATACATCACCCTTTAAAAAGAGAAAGTTAATTTGAGGATAAAACTGAGAAGGAAAAACTAAGCCTAATAACTGATAATTTCCAAGAATTTTTTGACCAAACTAGTGCTGGTGAATTCTATTTATTCTAAATTTAGCATGCATAGATTGAATAGAAGAATTGAAGATTCACTAGTGATATGAATTCTACGAATAGCTATTGCTTCAGTATATTTTATTATACTCTCCTGATGGATTCTGTAAACGTTTTTATTTACAGTCAATCTTATGGTTAATACCAGCAAATCACTCATCTGTGAATAAAGAGATGATAGTCTATCTGATGCTCTTATGGAGGCCTAGTTACTAGTTTTACGAATAAATGAAATAATTTCCCCTGCCCTCACCTTCAAAGATCATTTACTCCTCTTTATGCTTATGTGCGACACTCACGTAAACTGTTCTACAGTATTAGATGTGGCATAAGCATGCAATGTCTAGGTGTTTGGTAAAGAATGCTCCGAGTTTTGTCGCTAATGTCAAGCTGGGATGTAAAATATGTTTTAAGGATGAAAGATTTTAGTCTTTCTCTCATAAAATAATTTTACTTACCCTTACCTCATTTTCATATAAACTATCCTGGCAATTAGATGTGAGCTGACTGCTAGAAATGCAGTCTGAAAATATCTCTTAGACTCGGAAAATAAACCAGCTACTTAAATGTGGACTGAATAAGTAAACCAATTTTACTTACTTGTAAAGACACAAGCGTTTTGTAGCTGTTCTGTTTTAACAGTGTGTGCAAATTAAATGATAGATGATGGTAATCACGTTACAGTAACCGTTTTTATCGTTTACAATGAGACTAGTGTCACTTACGGAATTCTTATGTAGTTCAACAGTAACTCCGACAGTGAATTAAAACTAAGCATTTGCAGCCTCAAAAACGGTTTCAAGACGTTTATTTAATTAAAAGTGATCATCGCTAGTCATCAGACACAGAAAAACACCCTAAAAATAGATACATTTTATTCCAATTTGACGACTTCTATCTGTAATTTATCAATTACCAATGTGCAGAATTATGAAGCAAAGAATGGAAACTGCTAATTTAAGTAATATCTATAGACTGCTTACATCATTTCCTTTCCCTCACACTAACCAATGATTGGAATTCAATGATCTAGTTAGTGATTTGATTATTGCATATTATGTAACAGCATTATCTTTGTCTGCCGTATGAGTTAACAGAAAGTCGTGTATCACAGGCTTATCTGTTACCTGTTCGGGGTTCGAGCCCACGCCGACGCACACTTGATATCTATGGTCGACCTGCGAATTTTGGGCTACCGATATCCACGCTGAAAATTCCACACTTGTACCAAAAATACGATGTGGAATCAAGCTGTAATCAAAAATATAAAAAAATAAAAAAATACAAAGAATTTAGAAGATTTGTTTCCCAGCGGTAGGTTTTTGAGGCAAGAGTAAACAATAGACACTAAAGCCGAATGACCTTGATCTGACCAATCAGATAGCCCAGCATTAAAAATCTTTGCTAGTCATAAACCTTGTTGAAAATGTCTTCTGTATTTGGTTTTTAACTTCTCTGTGGAAAATGTGTTGATAGAAAGGAATAAAACATGCATATATGGAGCGATAATGACTCTGCAAAATTATTGTCGGGCTATTAATAATTAAACATTCAGATGCAGCCACTTCATATGAGGAAGTCCGTAAAGATTGGTAGGTATTGCATAATTGGTTAATTTTTTAGACACTTCTCGAAATTAAAGCTCTCCCTCGGTAATATATTGCGTACATTCAACCAGTATCTGCTACAGCTGGAGAAATAGAGAATACATTGGTTTGATATGTCTATAATCACTTTTATGAGAATCCGGGACCAGTTTTTGCAGCATATTAGAGATATGTACCCTATATGATTCATTTTAATTACAAATATATCGTACGTACTACTTTGTAAATTAAGTACCACTTTTCAGCTAGAAGAATCTGATCGGTTAAATCAAGGTCATTTGACTTTGGTGTCTATTGTTTACTCTTGCCGTTTTTGGTGCTATTAAGTTAAATGGTTTCATCACAAAGCCCACACTATTCTTCTAGACATCTTCAGAGTTTTTTTTTCAAAATAAAATAATAACACCGAACATTTTGGATAAGGTCACGTCCCTTAGAAAACTCAAATAAATACCGTTCGTTGCTAAAGTTATCGTGAGCATGTCACTTAAAACATGTGTGATTTTTAAGCATACCCCGAATTCAGAAGTTTTAATGAACATGTCTTGTTGGTCTGCATCAGTAACTGTTGTCTGATAACTGCATCCAGGCAGAAGCTTTCAGATTTAAACAAATAAAATCTCATCTCCATAGCTTCACAGTAGTGTATGTGACCTATTCCATCAGAAACGTTTCGCTTTAACTTGTATTCTAGTGGCACTCATTCAAACTGATGTATTTTTGGTGTGTGCAGTAAGTGATGGTAAGTGATAGTAATCCATGTATTCTGAATTCAAGTTTTGGTTTGTAGGGATTTGATTGGTTACAGGATTTCCTTGTGAGCTGACATTGGTTAGAGAACCACTGAAAAATCTGGGAATACTGGACAGCTGTTTCGTCCCAGCTTGATGGGACTCTTCGTCGGTACGCACTCACCTCCAGGGTTCGAACCTAGGACCTTCCGGTTACAAGGGTAGCGATCTCGTAGACCATTAAGCCACTGGGACCCGATCCAATGGCCCATGATTTCTAACTTCTGACAATTCAGAACATAGCGCGACCCCTAGCCAATGTCTTCGGCGAGTATTTTTCCTCACACCCGACCTGTTGTGCCCTACTGGTCAAGACTTCTCGCTAGAACCCCAGGTAACTACCTACCTGAATAGGGCAAGCTACTAGTGAGCATCTAATGGATATTCAACCGTTGGTTTGTGGGGATTTGAATTCATTCCGAATTCATTAAATGACTAAAAATGATCTTAACTTATGTATCATCCATTTATTATTGACTAAGACGATATATCGAATTTGTGGAAGTGCAACAAAGTACATATATATGTGAGAGACTGTAAAACAAAACTTACATGAACTAGAAAACGGTATGTTCAAATGATACTGGTATGAAAGCTATGAACAACCTTTAATTTGATAGAATAATCTCAGTTTACCTTTATGACATTTTCTTAATTTTACCAGAATAATCTTTACCAAGAGAATATACTATATATGACACTGGCACTTATGTCCACATATTATACATATTATTTTGAATGTTACTTTTAGGATTACCCTATCGTCACAAATTTGGAGAAAGATTTAAATACAATTGACTGTCTAATCAATGATACACAAAATACACAAGATGAACATGTTTCACAAATAAAATCACATCAAGATTTGAAAATGTCGTCGAATCCTACGAATATTAACTCAGTGAAACAGCAACGATCAGTGGATAATAGAATCCCACCACTACAAACTTTACCCCCATGCAAGTTATTACTTGGTCGTGTAGCTTCAAATGAAGATATATGCATTGAAACTGAAACACCATTTGCATTTAATATAGCCGCTACTGATAAGGAGATTTGTATTACACGAGTGGCCTCCGTAGGAGATCTTGAATATCAACAACAGCAACAACAACCACAGATAGAGAATCAAGAAGATCCATCATCGACAAATGTAGATGGACAGAAATATCAAAATTCTCAATCAATAAACAAGAAGAAGAAGAAAGGAATTCCAATCAGTTTACGTTTAACATTTGGTTCTGAATCAAAGCTAAATAAATCAACTTCACTAAACACTGCTGGTGAAGAGCAAGCAATCACATCACAAATGAAAAATTACCGTGCAATGTACTATGTGGATATACCACAAGGCTGCAGAACAGGTGAGCTACGCAGAAAGACAAATCGACACAAAAGTGCTTCTAGTGTACCAAATGTCACAAGGTACAGTCTTCCATGTATAAGTTATTGTGAAGAATTACCCAAGCCGATTTCATTACTTCCACCCTTGACTGTAGAGAAGAACCGGTGAATGTATGTAGAGCATGATATTAGGTGAAGAAAATACATATACATATACATAGTGTAAAAACTATCAAACTAGAATGATTTGCCATAACCTCTTGGTAAAATGGCAATTGTATTATCACAAAGCATGCAATAATTTCAAAAACTAGGTTTGTATAAATATTTACATTAAAACGTTTTTTTATTAAAATATCTTACTTACTGCATACCCTCATTTTCATTAATGCAGTAAAATAATCTTAAATATTAATACACATATTTCATTTTACCCATTGAATGAAATTAACCAAAAAGAAATGGTTATGCTTATAAAAAACACTTGCTGGTCAAATGTATTCTCGTTATAAATATCACTGCTAACAGATAATCTCTAAATGTCCAAAACTAGGAAGATTAGGACATTTATAAATAAATAAATAAATTACTTATTAGTGAAATTTTCTGTGGGCTTTTATTAGAAAACTTTGTTACCCTTGTTATATCAAGACGAAACATTTCTATTTACTATATATATATATATATACAAATGTGTCATTATACGGTAACAGATCACTTACAAATCTACTTCGTCTTTATTTCAATTAACACTGTAAAACAACTACCTTATACGAAAAGAAGAAATTATATAACTCAAATTGTCTGAAAACCCACTGAAGAAGACAATCAGATTTTCTTTTCCATCCTTTTGTCTCTTTCATGATCAGTTCAGATTTCCTACCTTTCTTCCCTCCTTCCTTACTTCTTTAAAAGGTTTTTTGAACATTCAGATGAAGAGAATAAATCAACATTGAATTTTAATACAATATACCTTCGCGTTTTGTTGTTGTTATTGTTGTTCCTGCTGCTTGTTTTGAATAAGAAGTTTATTTATCTTATTTATTTGAAAAAAAAGGCCTAAATTTTATTTCCGCATCTTTAATTTATGAAGGTGAATTTATGTTATTCACTTTTGATGTATAAGAATAAGTCGGTGGCACAGTGGTTAGGACTCTCGCCGACCATGCACATGGTCCGGGGTTCGAGCCCACGCCGGCGCACACCTAATATCTATGGTCGGCCTGCGAAATTTGGGCTACCGATATCCATGCTGAAAATTCCATACTTGTACCAAAAATACAGTGTGGAATCAAGCTGTAAATAAAAAAAAAGTCGTAATCTGGAATAAACAACTGTGGAATTCTCTATCTGTACCACTAGTCTGTGATAAAGTCCAGTGTTTATGCATAGGATAGATATCTGTATAAATTTAATTACTTTCTTAGAATACAACAACCAACAAAAACGTGAATATAAAATTGACAGGTTTATAAACTTGATGCCCCACTAAAAATCGCGCGTCGGTGGCATAGCGGTTAGGACGCTCGCCGACCATCCACATAGTCCGGGTTTCGATCCCCGGCTGGCGAACTCCCTTACCTCACTCAGCCAGAATTAAAGCTGGTGAAGAGGAAAGGTTGGGCATGAGGCTAGCAACCTCATTCCGTAAAAATAATCACCACTGCTAAAGAAACTTCAAGCCTCCAGCTTGAAGCCCTATGTTCAACTGGGAACGTGAAGGAAAAAAATATCGCGTAAGTCTTTGGAAGAAAGTTGAGATTTTATTGAACAAAGGCGCCTTATGATCCAGTGAAAATACTTTAAACTACTGACACATCTAAATGGTCGTTTGTATGACAATAAAGTTCAGGCTATACATAACAGCTTGGTCGATATTCATTTTAATTAATTTAACCAGTAATAACATCGTATTTAATTAGTGGATGGTGACTACCAGTGGAATCCAGGACGCGCATTTCGTCCTATTTTCGGATGTACCTGCATTTCACAGTGAGTGATGATGTTCCCACCGCGGCTTGAACCCAGTGCCCATAGCTTCAAACGCCAAAGCGTTATCCACTAGACCACTTGGGCCACGAGAGCCACCTCTTGTGCAACGGGTCATATTAATTAAAATGAATTTTAGATTTTCCCGTCGATTGATTGGACCGAAGTGCTTGGTCTCAGGATGACATGTCGGCTTCTTGTGCAGATGCTTCGACGATGTCTGGTCATTTAATCAGTATTTAATTGGTGGATGGTGACTAGCAGTGGAATCCAGGATGCGCATTTCGTCCTATTTAGGACTCGTCATCTGGATGTACCTGCTTTTTTCAGTGAGGGATGATGTTCTCACTGAGGCTCGAACCCAGACATTGTCGAAGCATCTGCACAAGAAGCCAACATGTCAACCTGATACCGACCACTTCGGTCCAATCAATCGACGGGAAAATCTAAAATTCAATTAAAGTAATAACATCGGTTCTGAGAATTTCAGAATCCAAAAAATAAGAAGAAGAAATTCTGGGGGTTATATGACGAAGGCATTAGAAATCGCACCTTGCATCCAAGTGATCGCAGAAACAGAATATTAAAGTCATGGATAAATTTTATGTAACAAGACAATTTCATGAAACGGAATCGATCGAAATTCGTGAAATTCTACAAAACTTTCTAGCCTTGTTGTCTTTTCAAGAGACTTATCATTAAAGTATCCAACGTTTTGGGAATTTTTGAACACAATTGATAACAAAATTGCACTTTTAGCAAGGGAAAAACAGATTAATCACTGATGAGTAATGACGAATTCGAAATATTATCAGCTAAAAAATATTAAAACAGGACATTAGTGTTTATCTGTCATTAGAAGACTACACTTATGAAACACAGATCACAAGCTTCTCATGTGTCGACAGGCGACTATCTCATCCAGTGTATATTAGAATCAACTGTGTACCATTAGGTAGTGTTGCAGGTTTTTAGATTAGGCGGATGATACTGGTGTATTTGTGTTCTCTCAGCTGAATGATTCAGTTGTGGAGATTTCATTATATTTTTAAACAATATCTCCAGAGAGCTATTACAATGCAACATGAGTTTATAATGGTTTGTTAAATTTGTTCTATGCCATTGTGTGTACTGATCACAGATTCATGTAAGTGCCAGACTTCTAAGAATTCCATGGAATTTTGATGTTTCTTCTTCTCCTTCTTTGATTAAAAATAATCAATACCATTACAAGCGAAACCTGACATACTATACCAGGTTCTTCATTTCCTGACCTGTCCTCCCTCCAGAGGAAGAGGATGGATGGCCATTGAGCTGGCTACCCTATTCAGAATGCTGAACCTAATCACCAAAGAAACTTCAAAGCCCACAAGAAACACAAATGCTGATACTTATCTGCAATCGGGAGGACTTCTAATCAGGAAGATGGATGACTCCGACGAATGAAAGACTTCAAGAAATATGTTAGACTATATGTCTTCATTCAATGAAACCAAAAGTAGAGATAGGGATACAGAATAGCCACAATGCGTTTAGTGTTGACAAAGCTGCTCGGGATGTAGCAGAATGAGAAGATATGGCATAGAAGTGCTGGAAAAATATGTGAGGGCGGATGAAATGAAACAGCACCCTTCAAATCTTCAAACAGACTCTCAACCATCTGCTCCAGTCATTCAGACGATAATCATCATTATACGAAATTAGTGGCTAACATGTCACTGACAGCAATGAAGGCTCCTATGAGGCCTGAATTAAACTCATTTAGGGTCATAACAGGAAGCAAATTAAAACCATACAGTGCTTTTCAACTATAAACAATACAGATCCATTGGAAAAGAAGGGGAATTTCCATACACAACCACAAATTATGATGGATTAAACCACAGTCAGTGGGTAGCATTGTGGTCGGAGCTGGCGGATGGCCAAAAGTGCTAGACAGTAATTTATGTCAGTGTTTACATCCCCAATATCAGTCATGAGAAAAGTGAGAACAAAGACTGACTCCACAATCAATCACAACAGACTTTGCGTAGGCGGATACAATTTGCAGATAGATAATCTTAACTTCAAGAAACGGCCACAGAGAGATGAAAGATTAACGTTCAGAGAGGGACAACCAATCAGAAAACCATGTTTGTTTGCTTACAATAATCAGTAATAATGTACATGAAAACGATCTGTTGCCTGGCCCTTGTCTACTGTTGTTGCAGTAGGAATGTCAGACTACAGGCATATAACGCAGGAATTGATATTATCATGGTTCGGAAGGAGCCGAGTAAAATGATTGCATGCAAAGCACTCTTTGCAGGATTCCCTTAATGATTTGCTGATTGAAGACGACTGACTTTATAGCATATCCCGATTATTGCAGTGCCGTAGTCAGTTGCTGTGGTGATTTACTGACAAGTTATATTTTTGGACGCTTTTTAAATTCAATTTTACACTGAATGTTTTCTGGCGTATGTGTTACCGGTGTCTTCATATCCTTTATCTGCGTTTCATTTGCTGCACTTTTATCTGAAGATGTTTCTTGATAGGGATATGTGCGCAATGCGGCGGATTAGGCAAAGCACTAAGTTCAAACATTTGACGTATATTGTGGTATAATTGTGAAACCGTAGCGGTATATTTTTGCCTATTTACTGAAACACCCTAAAATCCGCTGGATAGAGTTGGTGGCACTTAAGGAATGGGATATGCCATTATAAAGCTTGAACCTCCAAATGTTTCGCTATCAGTACAGTTCTATTTGAAACAACTTGGTTTACATTGGAGTGGAGATGGCGAGTATGCACCTTCGCTGGCAGATTCGTACAATGGCCGTAACACTGATACTGTGCTTTAGATATAATTTTTCATTTGTATATGGTTCTGTTGTTTATCATGAGCTGCTGTTCACTGTTTGTTTGAATTCACATTTGAGTAGTCCAGTTACTAGAAAACAACTACACCAATAATTAATGTTCATTCTTGATGAGTCCCTAACGACAAAACAGTTTTGTGCACTGTTTTTTCTTTATAGTGGTTTTCCAAAACTCGTCAACTTTGCCAAAAATAAGTGCTTGTCTCCATATGAAAAAGCACAACAGTCTGTTCAACGCTCGGTTGAATAAAGAACGTTTATAAGTTAAAAAGTGAGGTCACTAGTTTTCTTTGGAAAACATAGCTGTACTATGTAGTAGACGGTGTTCTGTTCTCAGGGGTTAAGATTTATTCGGCAGCAGGCCATGGGACTGTGCTTATTTCTGGCCGAAATGTGCAAAAACAACTACTAGGTGTCTTGGACAGAATTGCTAGATCTTCTCCACAAGGCCACAAAAGTGAACTTCCGCAGAACTGAGTAGGCGTTAAAGCTTAACTAAATGAACATCACCTGGTTTACTAGTCTTCTAGTTTTCTAACCAGTCCTGAGCCCGGAGAAGTATCTAAGGGGACCCAATTCCCAAGGAGCAGAAACAAATATTTTTTTATATTTTTTTGATTTACAGCTTGATTCCACACTGTATTTTTGGTACAAGTATGGAATTTTCAGCATGGATATCGGTAGCCCAAATTTTGCAGGTGTGCGTCGGCAGGGGACCGAACCCCGGGCTATATGCATATTCGGTGAGAGTCCTAACCTAAGTGAAACAATGGGCTGATCACTTCAAAGGACTCTTGAAGCAACCACCACCTATAACTCGTCCAGAAATACCGCAAACAGCACGCACACAACTGCTTGACCAATCCTCCAGAGAAAGCAGAAATCTTGAATGCGGTCAAGCTACTGAAAGCCTGACAGGAAGGCAACATAATAATATAATATAATATTCACATAAATTAAGCATTTACATGATTGACATACCGTTTGTACAGGCATGATCATATTTAACAAGTGCAATTTGAAATAAAACACTGTTTTATGACATTAAAAATTGGAAAAATGGAAAGGGAACTGTAGAAAGTGTATAAGAATAGTCAGCCAGCTTCATGCGGGAATTACGAAAGGTTGCATTAATGGAAGGTAAGAAGAGAGGTGATACACATTTGCTAGAGTAAGACTTACAGGATGCAGAGCTTGCGATCGTT